CCAATGAAATCTAACTCTTCAATTTTAATATCAGCGGTCGGATCCTGAAATATGGAAGTGAAACTCAGTAAATTTTTACAGTCAAGTAATACTATAACTTCTATTCGTAAAATTTTACAAGATTTGTTTCCAGTTTCGGACAAATTCACAATATTACTACATAACAACTTAGTAATGTAAGCAGTAAGGGCCCTCTCCAAATTTTAATCTGTAGAAGTGCACGTGCAAATAACGCGCGGAAATACGTGTGCAAAAATACGTGTGTGCTCTTGGCGCGCGCTAAAACTCTGCGCTGAAAATATTGGTTTGGTACTACAACGAGAGTTTTAAAATTCCCGCCAATTTCAAACTCCAGAAAAAGAATCCGAAATTTTGGGACAGCCTAAAACATATTCTGATTAATGCTTTTCGACTTTATTTTTCCGTAAACTGACAACTACAGCAAATCCATCTTCTCTACGAACTGGGCCCGAGTTACTTGTTTTAAAATACAGCAAATCCATCTTCTCTACGAACTGGGCCCGAGTTACTTGTTTTAAAATACAGCAAATCCATCTTCTCTACGAACTGGGCCCGAGTTACTTGTTTTAAAATACAGCAAATCCATCTTCTCTACGAACTGGGCCCGAGTTACTTGTTTTAAAATACAGCAAATCCATCTTCTCTACGAACTGGGCCCGAGTTACTTGTTTTAAAATACAGCAAATCCATCTTCTCTACGAACTGGGCCCGAGTTACTTGTTTTAAAATACAGCAAATCCATCTTCTCTACGAACTGGGCCCGAGTTACTTGTTTTAAAATACAGCAAATCCATCTTCTCTACGAACTGGGCCCGAGTTACTTGTTTTAAAATACAGCAAATCCATCTTCTCTACGAACTGGGCCCGAGTTACTTGTTTTAAAATACAGCAAATCCATCTTCTCTACGAACTGGGCCCGAGTTACTTGTTTTAAAATACAGCAAATCCATCTTCTCTACGAACTGGGCCCGAGTTACTTGTTTTAAAATACAGCAAATCCATCTTCTCTACGAACTGGGCCCGAGTTACTTGTTTTAAAATACAGCAAATCCATCTTCTCTACGAACTGGGCCCGAGTTACTTGTTTTAAAATACAGCAAATCCATCTTCTCTACGAACTGGGCCCGAGTTACTTGTTTTAAAATACAGCAAATCCATCTTCTCTACGAACTGGGCCCGAGTTACTTGTTTTAAAATACAGCAAATCCATCTTCTCTACGAACTGGGCCCGAGTTACTTGTTTTAAAATACAGCAAATCCATCTTCTCTACGAACTGGGCCCGAGTTACTTGTTTTAAAATACAGCAAATCCATCTTCTCTACGAACTGGGCCCGAGTTACTTGTTTTAAAATACAGCAAATCCATCTTCTCTACGAACTGGGCCCGAGTTACTTGTTTTAAAATACAGCAAATCCATCTTCTCTACGAACTGGGCCCGAGTTACTTGTTTTGAAATACAGCAAATCCATCTTCTCTACGAACTGGGCCCGAGTTACTTGTTTTAAAATACAGCAAATCCATCTTCTCTACGAACTGGGCCCGAGTTACTTGTTTTAAAATACAGCAAATCCATCTTCTCTACGAACTGGGCCCGAGTTACTTGTTTTAAAATACAGCAAATCCATCTTCTCTACGAACTGGGCCCGAGTTACTTGTTTTAAAATACAGGAAATCCATCTTCTCTACGAACTGGGCCCGAGTTACTTGTTTTAAAATACAGCAAATCCATCTTCTCTACGAACTGGGCCCGAGTTACTTGTTTTAAAATACAGCAAATCCATCTTCTCTACGAACTGGGCCCGAGTTACTTGTTTTAAAATACAGCAAATCCATCTTCTCTACGAACTGGGCCCGAGTTACTTGTTTTAAAATACAGCAAATCCATCTTCTCTACGAACTGGGCCCGAGTTACTTGTTTTAAAATACAGCAAATCCATCTTCTCTACGAACTGGGCCCGAGTTACTTGTTTTAAAATACAGCAAATCCATCTTCTCTACGAACTGGGCCCGAGTTACTTGTTTTAAAATACAGCAAATCCATCTTCTCTACGAACTGGGCCCGAGTTACTTGTTTTAAAATACAGCAAATCCATCTTCTCTACGAACTGGGCCCGAGTTACTTGTTTTAAAATACAGCAAATCCATCTTCTCTACGAACTGGGCCCGAGTTACTTGTTTTAAAATACAGCAAATCCATCTTCTCTACGAACTGGGCCCGAGTTACTTGTTTTAAAATACAGCAAATCCATCTTCTCTACGAACTGGGCCCGAGTTACTTGTTTTAAAATACAGCAAATCCATCTTCTCTACGAACTGGGCCCGAGTTACTTGTTTTAAAATACAGCAAATCCATCTTCTCTACGAACTGGGCCCGAGTTACTTGTTTTAAAATACAGCAAATCCATCTTCTCTACGAACTGGGCCCGAGTTACTTGTTTTAAAATACAGCAAATCCATCTTCTCTACGAACTGGGCCCGAGTTACTTGTTTTAAAATACAGCAAATCCATCTTCTCTACGAACTGGGCCCGAGTTACTTGTTTTAAAATACAGCAAATCCATCTTCTCTACGAACTGGGCCCGAGTTACTTGTTTTAAAATACAGCAAATCCATCTTCTCTACGAACTGGGCCCGAGTTACTTGTTTTAAAATACAGCAAATCCATCTTCTCTACGAACTGGGCCCGAGTTACTTGTTTTAAAATACAGCAAATCCATCTTCTCTACGAACTGGGCCCGAGTTACTTGTTTTAAAATACAGCAAATCCATCTTCTCTACGAACTGGGCCCGAGTTACTTGTTTTAAAATACAGCAAATCCATCTTCTCTACGAACTGGGCCCGAGTTACTTGTTTTAAAATACAGCAAATCCATCTTCTCTACGAACTGGGCCCGAGTTACTTGTTTTAAAATACAGCAAATCCATCTTCTCTACGAACTGGGCCCGAGTTACTTGTTTTAAAATACAGCAAATCCATCTTCTCTACGAACTGGGCCCGAGTTACTTGTTTTAAAATACAGCAAATCCATCTTCTCTACGAACTGGGCCCGAGTTACTTGTTTTAAAATACAGCAAATCCATCTTCTCTACGAACTGGGCCCGAGTTACTTGTTTTAAAATACAGCAAATCCATCTTCTCTACGAACTGGGCCCGAGTTACTTGTTTTAAAATACAGCAAATCCATCTTCTCTACGAACTGGGCCCGAGTTACTTGTTTTAAAATACAGCAAATCCATCTTCTCTACGAACTGGGCCCGAGTTACTTGTTTTAAAATACAGCAAATCCATCTTCTCTACGAACTGGGCCCGAGTTACTTGTTTTAAAATACAGCAAATCCATCTTCTCTACGAACTGGGCCCGAGTTACTTGTTTTAAAATACAGCAAATCCATCTTCTCTACGAACTGGGCCCGAGTTACTTGTTTTAAAATACAGCAAATCCATCTTCTCTACGAACTGGGCCCGAGTTACTTGTTTTAAAATACAGCAAATCCATCTTCTCTACGAACTGGGCCCGAGTTACTTGTTTTAAAATACAGCAAATCCATCTTCTCTACGAACTGGGCCCGAGTTACTTGTTTTAAAATACGACAAAGTTAACTGCTGAATGTTCCCGGTCAAAAATTAATTATAGTTTATATTAAAATATTGTCTATTGTCTATGTTTTACTATAATGCTGGGAGCCTTGTTGTAAATAATAGGGTACATACCATTCCTTGAAAGTCGTTATTTCGGAGTGAGCAATCATTTTGTTGACTAGCGAATCTAAATTGAAATAGTCGAATATCACTCAATTTCAGTTGCAGGTCGACATCCTTAAAATTAGAGAGCAAATAATTTTATTTTGTACTCTACTTCAGTCAATATAAATAGAAATTACAGCAATTTGAAGTAACAGCATATCAAGCTATATCATACATAATTATGAAAGCCTCGCAGAGATCTCGATTAAATCTGTAAACGTACATTTAACGGTAAGATATATAGATAGCGCGCAAGATATGCGCACGCATAAAACCAATATGGCTGCCACACAAAGCTACAAACTGGAACAAGAAATGAAAATTGTGAATTCAACCAGCTTGGATACTATTATCCAACGCGACATTGGTTTGTGCGCATTATCGACACGTTTTAAATGCGCGGAACGTTTTTGTGCGCGGCACTAGCATTTTAAATTTTCAAAATTCAAACCATAGCCAGAGTTATGGTTGATTTTCAAAACAAATTTTGAGGCAAATTTTACGTGTAAATTATTCATTTTTCATTCATGATCACTCATAATTTGAACAATTTACCTTGGATTGAATTGAACTCTTCAGTATTCGATGATTAAAACAATTGTTTTAAGAACAGAGTAGTTTTTAAGCTAAACATGTGCAATTTGTCTTAACAGGAGTCTTGGGAGAATTATAAAAATGAAATTTAAACGTTTTAGCGGCGCATGAAGCCCGCGGCGTTCGCTGGGGTGTGTATATTGTATCAGATTATGAAAGTTTATCCATTGCTATCATCACAGTAGTATTTAACAGTATACAATAATACACTACACAAATTACAATACGTCAGAAAATCAACGTAACAAAACTATTATGCCTGCGAAACATCGCCAAATTCTCAAAAAATGAATTCTTTTGTTGTACAGCAAGCACACTGAAACATATTTTTTAAGCATAGCATAAATTATGATTTCTCAATGGGGGTTGCATGAAGATAATTTGATATTTAAAGTACTATTTAACTGTTTAATTATATATGCCTAAATTCCATTAACATTTTAACAACCAGGTACATGATAAAATACCGCGGGTATTTTGTAATTATGTTAAGGTAATCCTTACTTCAGTCTTAATAACGCACAAACACAGATTAAAACTAGATCAAAAGTCTTTTTTCATCCTAGATGGTGCTTCAGTCTTCAATGCTTCACGGGCCCGTTTTTACTCATCTTTGAGACATCCCTCGTTCAAGCTCACTTAAATGACACCTCCTTGTTTCCTCAGTTGATCAACTCTGTCGTCCAAGTGAGAGTAGATGTTCTCGTCGTGCTCACTTCCTGGTGTGAAGTTGTTCCATTCAGCACACCCACTTCTTTCTTCTTCCTCTGGCTCCTCTTGAAGTCTCACCGCTGATGGTCCTGCCCCTTCGGGCCAGTCACTGTACTCAACGTTAGGGGTCAATATGGAGGAATATCTTACTCCAACTCCTTGTTCTGGTGTCTTTACTTTCTCTTTCTTTTTCTTCATCATAAGGACTGCTAGGACGATGCACACTAAACCTAGTACGACTGCAATGCCAGCTATGATGGCAGTCATACCTCTACCACCGTGAACTATTTTTTCAGAGGACCCCTCTTTTCCTAGAGACTTCATTATACAAAAGACTCCATTGCCTATCTTGTCCAGTTCATTGCACACATCACAAGTGTATTGCTTCCAATACTGCCCGATTTCGCATGTTTGACATTGCGGAGATCCCTTTTTCGAAATAGTGTAGAGAGGACATTTTGTACACTCTACGGCAAAGTCACCACTGTAGTAATTCTCAAGACAGGGAATGCATTTCATTGTTTGGGAATGCCAGTAGTTTCCAGCAAGGCAGCTACAAGCAGTATCGTTAAGAATAGAAGTAGTTCCATTTGGGCACTGGGTGCATTTTCCGATTGACTTCTGGAAGAAGTCATTTCCTGTGCACAGGATACACTTGCTGTTGCTCCAGAAAGTTTTTGTGCCACAAGAACAGTGACTTGATCCTGGTGGTGAGGTTGAGGAGGATGGGCAATCTTTACAGAAACTCATGTTTCCGACCTTGTAGTAGTTTTTTGGACATGGCTTACATGATCCAGTTATTGGACTGTCCCACTCCCAGGTCATACCGTCCTCACAAACGCAGCTTGATTGGTTAGTTAATGTTCCTCTGTCACAAGTCATGCATCTAGATGCTCCTTTTGCGCTAGCTGAACCAGAGCTGCATTCTTCACAGTTCTGCCCATTCCAGAAGATCCCAGCAAGGCAGGTACAAGACTGTGATCCAAGTAGAGAAGTAGAAGGAGATGGGCAGTCTCGACAAGTGATCATTCCCTCAACTTTGTATGTGTTCGATAAGCAAGGCTTGCAGGACCCATTGCTTGGACCATCCCATTCCCAGACTATACCATCTTCACAGAGACAACCAGTGAGATCCTCAGTTGCACCATCACTACAAGTGATACAAGTAGTTGCTCCTCCCAAGCTAGCTGTGCCAGATCCACACGGTTCACAGTTTTCCCCATTCCAAAAGCTTCCTTTTTCACAAGAACATGCTGCTGATCCTGCTAGAGATGTTGCCCCTGTTGGACACAACTGGCATTGCATCACTGCTCCAGCCTTAAATTTGCCTTCCGGGCAAGGCACACATTTTCCTTCCATCTCATGATCCCACATCCAGTACTGCCCGTCTGGACAATCACAAGAACTCCCATCATCATTAGGCAGTGAGTCAACTGGACACTGAAAACATTTTCCACTAACACTTGCAGAGTCACTGGGACATTTGCTACATCGCCCATCACTCCACTGGGTTCCGACTTGGCAATCACACTGGACAGAGCCTGGCTTGGAGGTGGCGACACCTGGACATCTTATACAGGATGTAGATCCTGAGGTAGGACTGAAGAAGTTGGCAGGGCACATTGCACAGATTAAGTTGTGTGTGTAGTGGCCTGCAGGACAGTCAGGTTTTGGACAAGTGATTTGGGGAGGACATGTTGGGTTTGGTGGACAGGTTGGGTGTGGTGGACAGGTTTGGTGTGGTGGACAGGTCGCTACTTCATTGATAGATACTTCACAGGACAAGAACACATCCTCACTATGACCACAGTTGTCCTCAGTGACATACGAGCATGAGGCACAGTCTTCATGTGAGCAGACAACATTATCCAAATTGATATCTTTGCTAGCCTGTATGTCGGGGAATTTATTTCCATATGACCACTCGAGCAATCCTGTGAAGCCCATATGACGACAAATGGCTATGCCAGATTTGGAAGTGAAGCTGTCGTCACAAACTGTTCCGTCGTTATAGAGAAGCAATGCGAGTGATCCTCCGTTAAGAACTTCGTTGCCGTTGTTGTCAATCAGTGAAAATTGGGGTGCTGAAATTACATCTTTACATATTCATCGAAATGTTTATTGGCAGTCGGTAGTATTTTTTATATTTTTCAAACTATAATAATCACCCGAAATGCAAAGATGATAATTACGTCACCTTGACAAGTTAGAAAGACATCCTCAGAATGTCCACAGTTGTGAGTCTCCGTGTAGGAACAGCTTTCCCATTCTCCACTGCTATCACAGGTCACATCGTCCAACTCTATCTCGTAGTTATCCTGTATTGTCCACTCGGTGTCGGAGTTCCAAGATATCTGCGGTCCAAACCCCATCTTTCGACAGACGGCATTCCCGGAATATTCGTTGAAAGAGTCGTCGCATACCGTTCCGCCTTTCCAGAGAAGAAGTCCTTCGGCTTGTGTTGTTATTGGCTGTCCATCTCTGTCCACCAATGTAAATTCGGCTATCACAACTGAAAATAACTTCTGATAGATTGATTTGGAATTTTATATCACTACATACCTCAAACGACTAGTTCCGATAAACTAGCATCCTTTCTGATAGTAATTCTGTTGTTTCCTTATTAGTAAGTTCCTTAGCTAAAATGTTTTTATTAAGTCAACCAAATTTTCGTGCGTCTTACGAAAAGATTTGTTGTTCATTGCGAGGCATAGGTAGTAACGTTCTGTGGTTATCAACAGCTACCATATCGTTAAAAAGTTGTAAGTTATAAAATATTCGAGATCGGAGATTTATTAGCAATTAACATGTTACCTTATTCCGTACACTTTAATTCAGACTTACAGTTAAAACAGCAAACGGGAGAGTAACTAACAAGTACAGAAAATATTTAAACGCCCGTTTATTATTCCGTTCATTGCCGTTCAAATTGTTACCAATCAGTTCAATTCATATTATGTAATGTGTTGCCGAAGGTTGACGTAAAACAACTGCAATGACAGGATCAGTTCATTCCGTCAACAACTAAAATAACAAAGTACGTAACATAATATACTAAGTCCTTCTTAATGGAATGTGTTGGCATAGTACCTGCCTTATGAAGTCAAGTTAATAGATCCACGTCACGAAAATGATATTTTGTCATGGTAATGAGTAGTGAATAATTTAAACCAATCATCCCTAAAAAGATGATATTATGTCATAGCAATACTAGCATGCACTACTTTAAATTTCTTTACCCAATATTGTGCTTCTAACTTATTAAAATGGTTACATGATTACATTGAACGCTTGAGTGTGATGGTATATTATATACTATTAAATAGTATTAGATTGTTACGTCATGATGTTAAAACAGTTGTTCATTGCATTATAATTGATTAATTTAAATAACCGCAAAATGTAGATCAAATATAACAAAGATACATTTTTTTAAATGTTAACAATTTAAAAAATGTAAAAAATGTATTATCTCTTACCCGACATGAGGAATACCAATAATAGGGCAGAGAGCAAACGAATCATAGTGCGGGTTATACAAATATTTCAACAAAGCGAAAATGTATCTAATTTAATGTGATCAAATCGTAGACTTATGTGATCGCAGAAGATGGTGAAAATGTCCCTCTGAGTAGGTATGGAAGTTCTTGTGATTGTGAAATCATCGGTGTCGAATTTGAACCCGTCCAGAGTGAAAATGTGTTATTAGTGTATTTAATCATCACATTATGCAGTAAAGATTACAGTAGGAGCTGGTACAAACTTGAATTTGAGATTATTTTGACCAAATAATTCCTGAAAAACCTGTGCTATTCTTTTCTGAGATGACCCAGCACAACTATTAAGTATAATTAACTGAGCTACTATATCTTAAACTTGAAGAAATTCCCCCAGCAACGACTTGAAACCACAGAGAATTGACTAGTGACCTTTCTCATGTTCTGATTTTGGCTCGAAAGTTGACCGGGAAATTCGAAATTTTAGGTAAGGTTGTACAGAAAAGGATGTGCATATTATATAATATTATTAATATTAAGAATGTAACATCAATGAGTGATTCATATAACTCCCTCTAACAAAGAAGGTAAGTAAAATAATAAATTAACTTAAATTTGGAATTTAAAGTATTTTATTTTTCATAATACAAGCGGGATGTAAAAGCGATATTTCATTTCATGATGAACTCATTTCTGCTGGTGTGTGTTGAGTTTTACATACAAATTCAAACGGAGGATACGATCAATATCTTAATACATGTAACCTGAATGATGAGGCAAATCGGTTCGCCACTACGGCTTGTGATGGTGAAACTGGGGAGGTATCTGAAAACATTGTTTATGTCACTGGTTGGTTTAGGATACAATGTTGCTGCTACACCGAATCTACACTTATACCCAGAGGCACATATTAGATTACCGCACCTAATATGTGCCTCTGCTTATACCGTGTATTTGGACGTCGTGTTCTCTTTTATTGAAGAGTAGCTTTGTTTTAGCCATCTTCAAGATGGTTGTAGTTTTACAGCACGACTATTAGTTTCATTATATATTTGCTCTCAAAACACGTTGAATGCTGGTTAACATTATATTTATTATCCTCCTCGATCACCGCATCACTATTATAATTATAGTATTATAGGACTAGCTTAGCAAAGACAATACCCCACAAACAGTACCACTAACCAATACCATATTACACTAATAATAATATATTTCTAGATGGTATTTTAGCAGAAGCTGGGAGTTTTGTGATATACAAAATGATAAATTAAATGTACATATGTGGGACAGGGAGAGACACGGTCAAATGAGGTCACGTAAATAGAGTTTACCGGAAGATAAACTTCACTAATATTCCGTGCGAAGAATTCATTATGATCTTGTTGAACTTGTAAAACGGTTAAAGTTCTTGTAATGTACGGCACCGACAATTAGTTTTAGATTGCTCGTTAACATCAATTTCAAATATGGCGCCCTTGGCTGCAACATTTTAGGACTAACCTTGCCCATTAAACTCAAGTTGCTTCCTTAGTCCACATACACCAAGGCCAAGTCTTGAAAAAATAATAAACATGATGTGATAATTCCTAGCCCTCAAGCCCTGTCCTTAACTCCGATCTCAGCCCTAACCCAGGATCCATAAAATAACATAATATAAGGATGTTAAACTGCAGGCCATCTTCATGATTTTTGTCAGGTATTGGAGGTGTTTATATTTAACTTTGTTCTAAAGTTCTATTATCGTTTAATTATTTTAACAAATTTCGTAACCCACTGATATAATTTAATCCTTAGTTCGTTGAATGGTTGGTTGATCACCACAAACTTCAGGCCATGCCTGACGTACTTTTGGTGGTAGCACTTGTCTTCGTAACCCTCTTAGACCATGTCGATTGTAAACAACACAATATAGTGGTAATAGTAGCAGATGACCTGGGATACAACGATGTAGGATTCAGAGGATCTATTGCACTGACTCCAAATATTGATAGACTTGCTAACAAGAGTGTGATTCTGGAGAATCACATCGTAGCTGCTAGCTGCTCTCCTACTCGATCTGCTCTTATGACTGGTCGGTATCCAATCCGAACAGGATTCTGGAAGGGAAATATCAAACCAATGGAGGAGTTTGGATTGGGATTGGACGAGACCTTGCTCCCTGAGATGCTGAAAACAAACGGATACTCGACACACGGCGTAGGAAAATGGCATCTTGGTATGCATACTTGGGAACACACACCCGCAAAGAGAGGTTTCGATACCTGGTTTGGTTCGTACAACAGTGAACAGGACTATTTCAAACATACAATGGCAAACCTGACAGACTTTAGGGAAAACTATTACGATGAGAATAGTAATTTAGTTGACGACATCCGGAATGATCTAACGGGACAGTATAACACATATCTGTTCACAGACAAGTCAGTTGAGCTCATTCAAAACCACAACCAAAGCAACCCCTTCTTTCTTTATTTAGCATACACTGCACCTCATGTTCCCCACCAAGCTTCTAAGGAAGATGTAGAAAGATTTGCCTCACACATTCCTAAAAATACTCGTCAAAGAGAAGAGAGACAAATATATACGACTCAGATATCTGTGATGGATGAAGGGATAGGAAAAGTAATTGACACTCTACGTCTGAAAGGAATGATGGACAACACTGTTTTGTTATTCGCATATCGTTTTGGAAGCAACTATCCTCTGAGAGGAGGTAAGTGGTCCCATCTGGAAGGAGGCGTCAGAGCAGTATCCTTTGTTCACAGCCCACTCCTTGAAAAGTCTGGTTACACCAACACCAACTTACACCATGTGACTGATTGGTATGCTACATTCCAGAAACTAGCGGGAGACAACCCAGAGAAGCACAGTAAACCACAGTTACCAATAGACGGAGTTGACATCTGGAGATCTATCAATAATAACGAATCTTGCCGCGATGAGATTCTTTATGAATTGAGGGATCCTTCTAAAAGGCTGGACCCGGCAGGCAGAAATGGACTTGACAATGCCAAAAAATATCCAATCAACCTCAAAACATTTGAAGCAAAATTCCGCAAAGCAAAACTTAAATTTTCTTCAGCGCAAGACTTTTTCGCTATTCGATGGAAGAATTGGAAGCTTCTTGTCGGCACAGGAACAATACTCCAAGGTTGGACTTCAGAAAGTGGACAGAGACACGAATACAAACGGGTCTTAAGTTACGGAGGAAAAATGCATATATGGAGCATAGTGTCTGGAACATTCCTTTTTGATCTGTCCTCAGATGTTAGAGAGGAACACAATGTAGCTGATAAATATCCTGATATGGTGAAGAAATTGCTGGATAAAAAACAAGGATATTTGGACAAGATGAAGACGGTTGAAGAACGGAATTTTTCAGATAAAGGAAAGGTTGATGGAGTTTGGAAACCCTGGGTAGAACTATAAAATGGTTGAATGTGAAGTTGTTAAACAATGATATTTTTGCAATATAGTTATTACACCGATAAATTAAAGAATTTTAATTTGTATTTTGATGGCTATCTGGAATTATTCCGTGAAAGAAAACTGCACGACCGTAATTATTATTTTTCATAATTTCAATATTCCCTTAAGTTGAATTCAAATTGAAAAACTCTTAAATTGCTAAAATGTCACCTCAAAAACTACAGGTAGCAAAATCAATACATATTCAGACTTTAAAGAATAGAAATTAGAAATTAGAAATTAGAAATTAGAAATTAGAAATTAGAAATTAGAAATTAGAAATTAGAAATTAGAAATTAGAAATTAGAAATTAGAAATTAGAAATTAGAAATTAGAAATTAGAAATTAGAAATTAGAAATTAGAAATTAGAAATTAGAAATTAGAAATTAGAAATTAGAAATTA